TTTTCCATAATTCATATATGGCTGTTTGGGATGAGAATATGGTAACAAAAGCATTTTGAGTTGGTTATTTTCATTTCTTTATCATAAATGTTTTAGTCATATATGTTTAAAATTACTGATTAATATATGTTATTGTCACACCCCCGAACCAGACGGCGGAAACGTCCGGGCGCTTGCGTGTGACTTCATCTTGAAATATCATTACAGTGAATATAAATGAAACATAACATCATCATCACCATGCATAATTTAATACAACTGCCATTGTTTACATCAAGTACAATCTTTTAGATTACAAGACCAAAACATTCACTAGATGATGTTTAACAGTACACAAAACAAATTCTCATATTCTTGATGATTCTTCTGCCTAACGAGTCCCTGAGAATACAAGTTATTTTGAAAACGTCAACATATATTATGTTGGTGAGTTCATAAGCATGTTTGATTGAAAAGTTTTGTATAGTTCGTAAAGCACCAGAAAATCCGATATTTTCTGTAAAATGGTTTGAAAATGATGTGAAAATCAAGTATTAATGCATGTGTGTTTACTGCTTTTGAAATGTATAAATAAACAAAAATGTAATCCAGATAGAAACCCTATATTTTTCTGTTGTAAGTGGAAAGTAATGTATAAATGTATTTATCCCAGAAAATCCGATATTTTCTGCATATAAAAGTATCGTAATCATAAAATTTCCAAGACCGTGTATCGATGTATGTATGTTTTTAATATCGTCTAGATTTGTATAAATATACCGAAATCTTTGATGAAGTTAGCCTCTAAGTGAGCCGTTACAACCATGCTTGATAATGACTAATTCGCCCGTCTTGACGTTTTCAGGCGCCGATTTTGATATAGGTAAGGTTTGTCGCCCTAGACTGACCTAGTCTAGCTGTAGCGAACAGCTAAGGCGTGGGGGGTCACCCCGTATAGATCTATACACAAACTCCCGCTCTCCATCCAGGAAACTCTAGTTATAACTACAGGCTACGATTGTACACTCAGAGGTGCCAACCGACAAGTCTCACTAGAATCTCAACCTCTAATACCATGTTTAATGTTTACGTGTATGTTGTATGTTATCAAATCCAAAGGTACATATATAAGTATACGAAGTTCAATAATTATGTAAAGATATAATTTCAATCTATTAAACATGTAAGTTTCAGTCCAAGCCCAATTAACATGTAAATGAATCCCAAAGGCCCAATAACATGTAAGTGGGTAATTTGGGCCCAATAGGCATGTAAATGGACCACGAAGGCCCAACAACATGTGACCCATAATTCAGGCCCAAATTAACATGTAAATGGGTC